GGCGGTGGCGGCGGCGCGACGATGCCAAATCCATAGTATCCCCACGAACTTCGTTCGGGGGATACAATGATATCACATATATATGTATCAAGTGTACATAATAGAGATTGTGTACTCTATTATGTACCAGTGTTTGCCACTGAGCAGAAAAAGCTGTAGGCCTGCAGGGCCTATAGCTCCTAAAAGCTGCAGGCCCGCCAGCAAAGCTGGAGGCCCGCCAATTTTGGAGCAAATTACAGTAATAAAACAGCATATCATGTTCTTCCTTGTGTTTATTAGTCATTATCAATGTCCATAATCATAATCCCTCTGTTTTTCCTTCCTCTCGTCGGATGACTGCATGTTTATGCTTTTTTGCCGGGGGCTCACAATTAAGGAAACGCCACATCGGTGTTATATGTAGCTCCTTGAACTACGACTCTCCACTTTGACAGCAGAGAGACAGACTGGTAGTCTGGTACACATCGGGGACTTCTATGAGGGTCTGGGGGCATGCCCCCCAGAAATTTTTTGAAAATTATAAGCTCTGAGATGCAATCTAGAGCCATTTCAGGGTACTCCAATAGCTTACAACTAGCAACACTTTTTGGTGGAAAAGGAAAAAATTATGTAAAATTTACCTACTGTAAAATTTTGATGGGCACTGGGGAATTCCGTCTGTGTTGAGTGTGTCCAAATAAATGTATTTTGTAGACATACAAGCTCTTACGTAGGGAAGCTTTTATTTAGCTACACCCTGTATAAAATTTAAATGTATATAGTTTTTACAAACGTTAAAAACAATATGACACGGTTAAACCTGAGTGGTGCACGCGACGAGGCTGTACTGCTGTTTGCATGACTAGTAGAGTAATACCACACGACGTGCTTTGCAGCTACAGTGACTTATGTGTGTTAAAACTTGAGACAGACAATTATTATTATTTACTGTATAATTCAACATGATATATTACCTAAATCTTCTTAATATTATTTTAAAACAGTATACTGATCGTTTGTTAACTACCAGTGATACTTTATTGTTTACATCCAAACGTGAAATGCGCGGGGATGTGAAAATTACTCAACAACCTAGCGCACGTGAACAGTGAGCGTGCCGCACGACCCGTGCACGCAAATAAACCCTGGCCAACACAATGTGTAAGGTTCACTACCACTGGCCAAAAGTAAGCTCCACCCACTTCTTTTCGATTTTTGGTATGCCAACGCTGCTACTGGATGCAGGAACCTGTGCTAACCTGTGCGTCCGAACATCCCACGCACGTTTCTTGAATGCCAACTAAAGTTGATTGCAGTGGGCAGTCAATAATATGCAGTTGCATGTATGTCACGGTTTATCACGGATTAGTTTTCAAATAAATACCCCTGGAAGTTAATATGCATGAACAGATTTCTACAGGTAACAGTTTCTCAGTGTTTCGAGTTTTCGGTGATCAAATAGCTGTAGGATCAGCGGGCCTGTTGTATCAAGAAGCTGTAGGCCCGGCATCGAAACTGTCGGCGGCGGGCCGACGGGCCGACGTGAATTTCGAACACTGTTATGTACTCTTGATATGTATTAATGTTATAAATTAAATGTGATAAATATCTATGAAATATTTTATTTATATGAATATAGTACAGTGTACCCAGTTATAACGCGATGGTTGGGGTTCATAAAATGTCATCACGAAAAAAGCGGGATCACACTAAATCGAGGTTATATATATACGTGGCTATATAAAAGAGAAAAAAAGGACGACTCATTGCGTTATATCCTAATTCACGTTAAATCGGGGCGCGTAAAATCGGGGTTCTACTGTACCATATATCATTTTAATTCCTACCACAAATTTCAAATGTTATCCATTTTGGTAGGTATGGAGCCACGGTGATTTCAAAAGGCTGGTGGAACAAACAAAAGATGCACTACCATATTCCTACTACTTTCATAGGTAAAATCATGCTATATACTTCATGATAAAAAGATCAGGACTTTAACTTATAACAGAAATGCTTTGATTTTATGGTTTAATAAAAGTCAACAAAAAGTGTACTTATTTTGTAAAATGACCATTATAAAATTTGCATTATAAGTGTTTAATTTAAAAATTATTACACACATAATATTGAGTTGTTATCATTTGTCTCATATAATATTAGTTTACTTGGTTTCCTTAGTTGCTACTAAATTACTTGTTTACTACAGTGGTTTCCTTGGAGCTGGACTCTGTATTTTCACCAGAGGAGAAATCATTGATACTGTAATACACCGGTACTCACTCAATGGCTATGCCCACAAAGTACAACACGGAGACTGGTTTGGAGGAAAGTGCATCGGCCTATGCGTGATCAAGTTAGGGAAACTCCGGTTTAATGTTTACGCAACACATGTACGTATGAATGATATATCATAATAACCACATAGATTCATAGTAAAAACGAAAAAAACGTTTGACCCATGCGCCGCGAGCTGTCGCGCGCCATTCTCTGCGGGTCATAATCGTACGCCGTCTCGCTTTCAGCTTCACGCGCAGTACTCGGTCGAGAACGACGAGTACAAGTCGCACCGTGTCACGCAGGCGTTCGAGACGGCACAGTTCATCCGCGCGACGCGGCAGAACGCCGACGTGACGATCCTCGCCGGCGACCTCAACCTCGAGCCGACGCAGGTCGGCTACAAGGTCATCAGGAGCCACGCGCAGCTGCAGGACGCGTGGCTGGCGAGCGAGAACAAGGTAAGCGAGTGGAAGGACTCGGATACATGTTTGATGACGAAAATATGAGATTCGTGCGTCCCCTGACATGGCAGGATTCGTATACATGACCGGTGATTAGACGAGCATTGTACATCTTCCGCCGTGAAGGGCATCATACCAGGGTTTTCCCCGACATGATGGAAGGCATGGGGAGAACCCTGCATATACAAAGAGAGAATAAGCCTTGTCTGGCCGCCGCCATCTTTTCTTACGTGTAAGCCAATGAAGAAAGTGTTCTCGTGGTAGTGCGGTAGCTGTGTTGATCAATCTTGTTCGTCTCCCCTGTATCTTGCATTGTGGAAGCCAATGGAAAATATGTTCTCTCGGCAACCCATGTGACGATGCATGAAGCAGGAATGCCTATTAAAACTTTATGGTTTCGATGTTTGTGTATTAGCAATTTCTTTGCACAACTATGCAGCATATTTATAGTGGACAGTAGTGTCCACAAAGAGGTCTCTATACTTGTGCATTGAACGTTTATCGTTGACAGGTTCACAACCAAAAGTTTTTAATAGTTAGTATGAGCAGGTAGCCATTCTATAGAGGTGGCCAGTAACATGGATTTTACTGTACGTGTCATTCATATATGGCATTGGGTTCTACAATGGGATCAAAGCTCGCACTTTGTTCCTCGTTGACAGATGAACAACCACGATGAGTCGGGGCAGACCTGTGATACAGTGCACAACACGTACAGCGCCGGCGGGACCAATCCTGTCCGTATCGACCACATCATGTACTCATGCAACCCGAGTATGAACACCGGTGATTTATCTTTTGCACTTAATTGCGCTAGACGTAAAACTCCCCTAGCTTTCCTTTGCAGTTAACACAACCTGCGGGTAGCGAAGCGAGGTAATTTGCAATTGTGGAATTCTGCTGTTGCATATATGCATGGACACTGTTTCATCCTTATCATATTTATTTCCGTATTATGATAATATATTAATTTCTATGAACTCTCCGCACATGTGTAATGCTTTATTGGTTGAGAGGAATATTATGTGTCACGAATTTAAAGAGTAAATGTGGTCATGCTATATACATTTTTGATCAGGAAATGAATACTTAATACTAATGTCTCATTGATATGTGCATAATGTTGCCATAAAAATTATGTTAATGCATACGACATCCTGATGTAGTAATTTACTGCACTAATTTAAAAATTGCATCAAATGCTCTCTCAAGCAACAGTTATATTGCATGAAACTGTAAGTCAAGGTTGTCAAAGCAAATATATGACCTGAATTGAGCTATTGTCATGGGGTGTCGTACGTCCGTCCCTCTGTCAACATTTGGCTACGGTCAACGATAACTCAAGAACCGTTTGACCCACATGTTTCAAATTGCATGCAGTTGTTACTCCTATGGGAGAGGTTTGAACGTCCTATTTTTGAGCACTCCAGTTGACCTACATTCGAGCCACGTCCACTTTTTGGCAAAAATGGAAATGGCCATAAGTCAGTTTAGGTTCAATGGATTTTGCTCATTTCTGGTATGTGAATGAATGAGGACTGGCCCCAAAACATCACACAGGCTTTGATTTTTTTATATTATGCAAATTAGGTAGATTTTGGCAATTTCACTATGCATTTCAGTGTCTGCCTACGGTCAACGATAACTCAAGAACCGTTTGACCCACATGTTTCAAATTGCATGCAGTTGTTACTCCTATGGGAGAGATTTGAACTTCCTATTTTGGAGCACGCCAGTCGACCTACTTTCGAGTCACGCCCACTTTTTGGCAAAAATGAAAATGGCCATCTTAATTCATTCGATTTTTTTAAATTTTGGTATGTGAATGTGTAAGGCTAGCTCCAAAACAGTTGTTACTCCTATGGGAGAGATGACAACGTCCTATTACATTTATTTCGTCTAACTGGCCAACAACTCTACAATCATATATACCTATATACGTGTAATATTGTGTTTTAGATTCTTCGTTACAGTAATTTGACTGGAATATTTTATTGTTTTTATTTGCGCGTTATTCGAAAACCAAAATGGTGATCATTTAGGCATAGCGCCATCTCTCGTCAAGATTTCAGACTCAGATCTGAAACATTTATTTTCGCATCAAAACTTATGCATATATCATTATCAAGAGTATATAATGGGAGATATGCTATATAATGGGAGTTCTCCCATATATACTCTTGCTTTATATATCCCCCCTCCCTCTTCTATCACACCCAAGGTGAGCTACAGTGTCATTGACACTTTCATTTATGATTGCTACACCAAACCAGCACTTATTATCTTCCAAGCATACATGCTGCACCATGTTTGCGCATAAATGTGCTTTATGAGGTCAGTAGATTATAGACATTTGTAGTTAGTTATTAATTGTAAGTATAGACGTGTGATAGTGTTTAATTATATCAACCTACAGTTATGTGTAATTAAAATTATGTATTTACAGACATTGGAATTAGGTGTATGGATGTCCAACTGCCATTAGGAATTGTTCCTGGCCACCAAATCAGCTACTCTGACCATGAGGCATTGCTGGCTGTACTGAGGATATCAAACGACAAGACCGATAATGTCGGGTTACAACGTGAGTGATTACTCAAAATGGGAATTTGACCCACGTATAATTTGCTGATAGTCTCATTGATACAATTTAATTGAATGTAATCAATGCTATAATAAATTAATATTCAAACTATTTATACTTTAACATAATCTTGCTATAATGATCATCATAATCGTAATAACAAAAAATAATAATAACTTTACCATACCATACATATTTTAAAACGAAATAATTAGTTAAAAGATACATAAATGATATATACCATGAATCGTTTTGAAAACGACGGTCATCGGACGGTTTCTTTCCTTCCTCCCCTGAAAACGACGGTCGTCGGACAATTTCTTTCCTTCCTCCCCTGAAAACGACGGTCGTCGGACGGTTTCTTTCCTTCCTCCCCTGAAAACGACGGTCGTCGGACGGGTTCTTTCCTTCCTCCCCTGAAAACGACGGTCGTCGGACGGTTTCTTTCCTTCCTCCCCTGAAAACGACGGTCGTCGGACGGGTTTTTTCCTTCCTCCCCTGAAAACGACGGTCGTCGGACGGTTTCTTTCCTTCCTCCCCTGAAAACGACGGTCGTTGGACGATTTCTTTCCTTCCTCCCCTGAAAACGACGGTCGTCGGACGGTTTCTTTCCTTCCTCCCCTGAAAACGACGGTCGTTGGACGG